AAAGTTTCGGGAAGATATGGTGTTATGCCATGCTGTACCTTTGTAGCATCATTTCACCTACCGTAACTATATGAACTATCAGAAGCGCACGCAACAATGTTCGGTTTGTATGTTCCTGGTCAATACTCATTTCCGGTCATTGCAAACATCATTTATGCTGGGCACGGGGGCATTTCAAGGCCGTTTTACTTCCTTCGGCCGGCTTAAAGTTAGGAAAGAAAGGAACTACCCGTCCAAGCAATCTGATTGGTCGGACTAAATGTTAACTGATTCAGCGATCTCGATGATATCTGACGTGGCTGACACCAGACAGCCTCCACCAGACCGGACGCCGGTCCGGCGCGGGTCGGGCCGGTGTGAGGCCAGGCACAGAGCCTCTGGCTGCCGATGTATGAGCCGCGGCTGCTGCATCGTTCCAAGCGAGATGCCGGGATCGATAATGTCCCATTAGCCCCGTTTCCACGGCGGCGGGCGCTGGGCGCGGCCGCGGGCCCCGCCGACAGGCTCGGTGAGCGCGCGCGGCGCGACCTGCAGGTACTCAGGGAGTGACGGGTGTGTGTGTGTGTATGAACATACTTGTGCAGCAGGAGCTGTCTAGAAGTCGTTCAGCTTCGGGTGTAGCCGTGTTTGAGGAACATGGGGACCAGTGTTACCATAATGTCTGACCCGATAGCTCAGTTGGTAAGAAGACATGTGTTCCGATCCACTCAGTTGCAGGTAGGTGGCTTCGATCGCTTTAGGCAACTTAAGGCGCTCACAATTTTCTGTTGACAGCTATAGCCTGCGGCCGGCGGCAGCGATCGCGCCAAATACCAGATTGCGTTAGAGGACAGGACGGACCATGCCGAGCGTCGCGGCATGTTAAAATTTTGCCACCTATGTTTTTAACCTGGAATGGCACGATCGGATGGCAGGGTTCAGGCTAACACAAGCGCTTCTTGACAGACCGGCGATTCCAGAGACCAATCCTTCAAAAGGTTTGGATAGAATCCTTCTAAAAAGTGCTGTAAATACATCGCATTCTGGCCTCGCCTAATGTCATTCTCCTACTATCAGACAGCAAATAATGGCTTCGGGAAGTACAGCACGATTCCACAGAGGGCGGATAAACCATCACTCACCAGTTCGGTGTTGTTAAAAGGACTTCACTTTACTGGAAGCAACTGGCGCTTTGTATGATACGTTAAAGCGTTCACAAGCACGCGTGATTAATGTCACGAAGGTCACAATACACTGGTAAATTCAGCCAGCAAACCCAACGCCGAAACAGCCGACATCAAAGTGATCTTACTGGGTGCACCTTCCCGCAGACACCGTGTACAGTAACAGCTAAAAACGGATTCAACAGCAACTCTGACAAACGGCGGGCCCATTCATGTAATGTTCAGCAAGTGCAGCTCTCCCAGGCTCATGAACTGGTAATTATCGCATAACCGATGTATTTCTGAGGAGCCAACGGACGCTGGCCCGAAGACCTCACCTCGTGCCATACATACGTGACAAAACGTGCCATACATACGTGACAAAACGGAAGACGCCCAGCTGTCCAAGCTCGGTTAGCGAGACATTAGCATTACAGTACGGCTGAAGCAAAATCTGAGCTAATCAGCGACTGGCCATGTCAGAGCTCAGGAAGAATGCCTTACTAAGCCTCAGAGGTTCCACATCCACATCAGATGCCGAACGCTCGCCAGAATTCGGCGAGGACGAATGAAGAGCACACTGTATGCTCACACCTGCCAGTTTTATGATAGCATGGTGCGTGTGATAACATAATGCTTATGATAGCATGATAACATAACATGATAAAATGATGCTTGCTCAACTCAGCAGGGAATGTGGCAGCTTCTCCAACATATTTCAAAGCTATACGCTGTTCAATCAGTTCACTTCAAACTCTTCAAGCATCGTAGGCCACAATACATGCGTCATATGTCGCCTGGTAACAACATTTCTCGATGACAATGTGACGTTGACTAGAGCGAGGACGTTGTTCGTGATAAATGCAGCGGATGCCTACTCGGCTATCCGGACATGTGTATAAGTGGGTATCGGTCCAGGGGAGAACGGTGCAGTGTGAGCAATGTGCGTAGTGCACATAGCACAGTTGCAGTTAGTTTGCAGTATCTCCCTTATCAGCGATCTGGTTAACGTGTCACGGTACAATGTAACGCTTCTGCAAAATCGAGTCTATTTGTGCGGATTTCTTTACCCACAGATCTCGTTCACATCAGCTGATTGTACACAGACCAAGCCTTGCGGAAAGAGATCTGTGAACAGACGCTATGTTTACCTGCACTGATTTCTTTAATTCATAGCTTGGAATTCAGGTCATAGATCCTTTAAATGCACAGTGACCATCACCATTAAACACAGATGTGTCAAATTTCAGTTTTTGAAACGTTTCATCCGAAAACTGCGTCCGCATTGTTTGACGTTCACTCCACCGCTCCACCAAAAGTGGAAGGGTTTCTTCTGCCGGGCGCCTCGCCGAGATGTTCCGCCTAGCGGATACACCCGTCTGTCTGCAGGGTCGAAACCCGTGTCCCAGTGATGCCGATCATTAAGGGACACGACACTGGACAGGGGCGGTTCGCCGTTGCCGTTGAAGTTTACCCAAGGCAGTCCTGACCTCCACCCCCTCCCCTTCGGCCATGTACGTCACCACGCCTAAAATGCTTTCTGGTAAAAAACACGGATATAATCAAATTTGTTCAATGGGTTCTGTGATCCAGACTCCACCGATTCCAGAGTGATGGTTGCTCCCATGCCAATGACGCTGCTCCTCAGCTACGACGGTCGGCACACCACAAAGGCGCACGTCATTTTTGAATGGTGTGAAGGATCCAAATAGCCTGGGGTGCACAGATCAAGGCTAATTCCGGCCATTTGGCTGACAAAAAGTATGCTAACTGCAGGGCGGCATTGTCATCACTAAGCCGTCGCAAATGCCCGGAGGGCAAAGGTTGCCCTGGAACTGCTTCGGTTGTGAGATACGATGGGATAGTGATTTCATTCAGACCGCGCCCGTCGGCTCCCATAATAACCTGGTGCCTGCAGCACGCAGTTAAGCAGCTCGACCCATCACCCGAGCCCACACAGGCATTCACCACCCCCTTTCCTTGTGCCCAGCAGTGTTGGGACCTTTGACATGGTAAGAGGCGTATAAAGTTTATGTTTTGCCTTTGTCCATGCATTGCTACACCAAGTTACCGCTGGATTCGACAGGTTTGGGAGAGGGCAGACACTCCCTCCCTTTGTCTCCCCCTATCCGCTACCCTGTCCTCACCTTTCCGACGTCGGCTCCGGTTCGCAGCACGTCCTTTCGCGTGCCCGGCGACGGCGGGTGAAGGTCCGTGACCCCGGCTCGGCCGCTCTGTCAGCCGGCCGCCAGAGGGCGTGGTCTTCCCAGGCGGGGGCCGGTCACGGCCGTCCGCTGTCGTGGGTCGCGGCGATCGCGGCGCATGTCGCGGCGATTGCGGCGCATGTCGCCGCGGCGGCCCGTCGTGACGGGCCCCGGGCCCGGCCGGAGTTGCGCGGCGCGCCGCTGCCGTAACGTGCCGCTGACACCGGCGCTTGCTGTTCCAGGACGAAATGTCCTCATCACATTTCTTCGCGGGTGCAAAACTTCGCATCGGACATCTCCGTATAGTTTTCTCAGTGCGCACATATTAAGCGACGCAAGTTCTCGTAAATGCAACGCTTTGAACGGCTAGATGCTTGTAACGCAAAATTTCGTGCCCCAAAAACCTGGTATTCGTACTTGCTCCATTACATTTCTTCGCTTTGGAACCTACAACTATTTGGTGCACTCAGCTATATGCATGCGCAATTCTTTGAGTCGCGTTTCTTCGTATACGCATTTTTAAGAACCGCGTTTTTTGTTAGTGCGATCATTCGTGTCGCTTTCTTTCACATCCAGTTCTTCGCATCGCATACCAATTTGCATTCAGATTCGCATTTGCTTTTTAACTTTTTCTTTAGCTTTTGAATGCGTCTAGCATTTAAACTCGCAACGCATTGACTGGATGGCTTAAAACACGTGCATGTTAGGTAGGATGGTGCGTGAGCCTTATGTGGCTCCTAGATATCACAGATATTTAAATAAATATTTTAGATGTCAGAAAGAACGTAAGAAAAGCACAATGGGAAACGAACATCAGAGCAATGAGGATGGCAACCAAATACCAAAGTTCCTGCACTAGATACCCCATACTCCATATGAAGTATTGCTGATGCCAAGAGATGCAACGAGAAGTTTTTATTTACTAAGAAATGCATATGCAAAGAAATGCAATGGCAATAATTGCTTTTAGGACAAAGTTTAATACAAAAAATCGTCCCGCATACCTAAATGCAATAGAAGGAATCACGTACCGAAGAAAATGCGATGTGAGGGAAGGCGTAACAGCAGAAGCTTTCAAGATGCGAAAAACTGCTTATAAGCATTCACGCACGAGGATGTGCGACACCAAATTATGCGTCTTAAGATTTGCATACCAAGTTTTTCATGCGAAAACCTGTGCTACGAATATTCCCTTATAAAATTGTGTGTAGGAAGAAATTCTTTACAATTGAATGCGACACGAAAGTTTACTCGACCACGGATGTCCAGCAGCCGTAACCGGTGATGCAACTGGCCGCCGTCACAGCGTCGAGTTGTCGATTTCGACATCATCAAGGAAGCAATTGAACTAATAGCTATGACGCCGTGGCGGAAACACTACGTGTTGCAATGTACGAACGGTTAAGTCAGTTCCGTCTCACGCACAATACGAGTACCACCGTCACAGGGCTAAGCCGCAGGTACAGACAGTAGCGGGATGTAGAGCCTTGTCCGCCCGCGGCTGTCCGCGCGTGTGACGGTCGCCACTCTGCGCCGCCAGGCTTCTGCGCTGCTGCTGCTGGCTGTGGGCCACCTCAGCCGGGCCCAGTACCAGACCGGCTACGGAACGGGCCCCCAAGATGCCGATCTGTTCCCACGCGACGTGCCCGAGGACGACGAGGACCTGGCGGCCGCCCGCGCCGCCAGCATCATCGCCATCAGGCTCTTCCGCACCTCGGACTACGACTCCAACTTCATCCAGGTGAGGGGACAAGCAGGCTGCCGACGCTGCAGCACAGCTGGTGTGACGTCACACACTTGACCGCGGTGTGAGGGACATGTAGGTGCACACCACAGCTACAGCACTTATGCGGGTCATCGCCAAATGGCAATTGTCAACTGGCCACGACGGTCCGGCTGAATCAGAGCGGACGCGCCGTGACGTTGCATGACACGTTGAAGCATGCTCGCTTCTGTTTGGAACAGAATGCCGAAGCAAAAGAAAAACTCTTCGGACTAGAACAGCACTTGTTAATGGTACCAGAGTCTTCGAATTCGTGGCCAGCTCCACTTACGAGAGATGGGATTCCAATGTCATTCATGCATAATGCTGATAAGATTTTTTTCTAAAGAAAGGAGCCCCATTTAGCTGCCGGCTAACACTGCTGACATCTACAGAAGATCAGCTTCTTCGGTCCCGCGTCACTGCAGCTGCCAACTCAATGCAAAATGGAAGGCATTGCGTCTTGAGCGATGTCGATAGCATCACGACTTCAGAATAATCATTTGCTGGCATCTGCATTTATTCATTGATAAAATTTTGCTGCAAACCTATATCTGCCTGGATTCTTGTTTTTGATATTCAAGTTTAGTTCTCGAGAAAGCCTTCCATATTTAGATCCATGACGTAAACATTCTCGACAGACAACAGAATACAAACCAAGGCCAATGCAGTTTATCGGCACCTCTCAGTGCTTTACCATCAAGCTCCAAAGCGTTCAGGAAGATATCGTAAAACGCGCAGAAAATGATCCATGCCGACTAGGAACCGTGCCATTTTTACGCTAAATAGCCGCAAAATAAGGCCCAGTCAACCTTGCACGCCTTTCCACACCCGTGGCCGGCGGCAGCGAGATCTCGCCGCCGATAGCTGCCCACCCCCGCAGCGTGGGAAAGTCGCCTGTCTCACCCGGGTGATAGACCCCGCTGAGTCGTTGAAGTTCCCTTATCGGGCTCATCGGGCCACGTCGACGGCGCTGGCGCGCGCGCCGATGGCTGCCGCACGGTCAGCACGCGGTCACTGGGGCAAGGTCACCGGGTCGGGGGCGGGCCAGACGGAAACTGATGACCCAGTCTTAAACGAGCCTTTGGATTCGGCAGATCTTGGCGTCAACACGTCACGGTTTGCCGTGCGCCTCCTCATTCGGAGTAAGAACGTGTAGTTCATGTATATGACGACGTGGAAATTACCGCGTCCGAAAAAGTTGTATGGAAATTTACACAGCTGAATAAGAGGTTAGAGCGGGCAAAAGTGCCCTGACCTACTTGCTCTAATCTCACGTGGTGGTCTCGAGCTGTCATACGTTGTCGCATACATTAAGTTCCCAGATGTTGACCTCGATTGGCTTCCCGGCTAGACAAATAACACGCGCATCATTTCTTCCGCATTTGTTGTATTGATTGAAGACGCGTGCTGACAAATACCAGAGTAGCCACAGCATCCTGCAGTCTATATAATTAACATTGATAATTGAAAAAGACACGCCATAGTGGTCAACACACTAACTGCACGGCCGTGAAATGATGGCAAGGGTTCATAGAACACAGCACACTTCCTGTACACGAGAAAGGTCACGGGGCCGGCCATAGAAATGACTGGTTAATCAACTGTCAAGGCTGTTAATTAAGGCTAACCTCTACACAATGTCATTGCAGATTGCACTCAAGATGCTTGGCTACACAACAATGCATACAATGACCATTTCTCTGGCATTCGAAATCAAGGCAGTTTAGTTAAAAATTGGAGTCTTTTCGGTGACAACTCAGTCACAGCTAAACACAGCTACATCCTATGTTTTTCAGTACCTCCTGCTGGAGTTCCTGTTACTGTCATTTTGTGGCACCTGTTATTGTCATTTTGTGACAATGTCATTGAGATCGTTTTTAATCGAATTATATCAGAAATAGTAAATAGTAACTAGCAAATGCTGCTGTAAAAGAGCTGCATTCAAAATAAAGGCGGTTTAATTAATAATTAGAGCCTTTTCAGTGACACATCAGTCAGAGCTGAGCACAGCTACATCCTATGCAATTCAATACTTACTGCTGAAATTCCTGTTATTGTCATCTTGTGACAATGTTATTGAGATGGTTTTCAATCGAATTATGTCAGAAATCCTTCCGCTGAGGTAACAGGGATAATCAGCGGAACACAACGCACTACCCGCGTCATATATCGCCAGCCTGCCGAGTGTTAGTAACGGCCTAAACCTATAACTCATGTTCGTGATACTGGTCGTGCATGCGTTAAAAAGCACGGTAGAAACACAAGAAGGGCTGACTCCATTGCAAGGGTGAGAGCAACCCTCTGCTGTCCAGACTTACCAAGACCTTTGTCCTCTTGCCATCACGGTGCTAAATCCGACCTAGTTCCTTTGCTACTCTACAACGTGATTCAAGCGAACGAGGCTTCTTAACATTGTGCGTCTTGTTTGCAAGTCAGGTAGCAACTGCTCCGCTTTCAAGAAGATGACAGCTCAGTTTAATGCAACTAAGGATCGCAAATCCTTCGTCTTTAGTCTGGACTTCGCTCATCACGCTTACCTTGAGTGCAAAATCCAATGTTGCAAAAGGCGAAGTTTAAATTGTTCAATACTGGCTCCTCATTTCGACGAGATGTTGAAAACGCCGCCACACCAGTGACGACCTCGTGGGGCGATCTTTCCCCAATGTGACGTCACTCCAGATGGCCCCCCCTCCATGTCACGTCGCCCTCGAGCGACCTCCCCGTATATGACGTCACCTCCCGTGGCAGTCTCCCAGACTGGTTACCCTGGCCGGCCTCCCCACATGACATAACGTGACGTCACGCCGGCCGCCGGCTGTGTCCTGACGCAACGCCCCCGGGGGGGGGGGGGGGGGGGGGCGCTTCTGACGCCATTCACGCGGCGGTAAAGCGGATCACGGATCAGGCGGTTACCGAACACGCGGCCCCCGGCGCCGGCCTCCGCTGCCAGGGAGGCGGCTCCCGCGAGAGGCCCACCGGTCACCCCGTACCGCCCCCCGCTCCCACGGCTCACGATCGACGGCACCGGAAACCGCCCGAAACATGTGAGTGCGGCGGGTAAGCCGCATGCCGCAAAACCGCAGCGGGTGCAACGTTCGGCGGGAGTGTCCGCAGCCTTTTCCGACCGCACTCCCGGGACTAGGAAACGCAGCGTGCAGTAATCAGGTGTCTCGCAAGGCTGACAGATGGCCCGCTGGTGTAATGATACGCTACCGGGCTTGCATGGCTGCTGGGACGGTGAATAGGCAGTGTTGTAGCAAGTTGTGAGAAATAATTTCCTGTCCTAATTTCCTGTCCGCATCGGCTTGGCTCATGGGATTAATGGCTCCTCGCCCAATCATAAGCACTACAAGAACTGACAAAAAACATGCGGGTATTGCTGCCTTGACGTCCTTTGCGAGGTTGCCATCGAGTTTTCCAACAAACCAGCAATAAGTCTGCTTGCTAAGCTCTATTTGTCTCGACCACGCGATTCTCGAGTCTCTATGACATATGTATGCATGTAGGTCAAGATGGAAACGAAATGTTCCAGTTGCGTCGTTCATGGCACTCAGCGTCTTACTTTCGCAATCCTGTCCATGCATTTGCTCAGCGACTCGAAGTAAACATATTTCTTAATCGCTTCGTTCGTGACTCACTCACGTTACCATTCGCTCCAAAGAAAAGGATTCGCCCTTGCAATAAAGGTCGCGGGATTTCCATTGTCGATGTTCCTGCACGATGGCCGCTTACTGCCGCGGTCGCCACTTCTCTGGACATTGCACTGTCCACCTTCTTCAGAGCCTGTTATTTGCCCGGCTTTAAGTGCACCGCGGAATCTACAGCGGCGCCCCGTCCGAGCTATCCTCCAAACGTACAGCGGCGTCCCGTCGAAGCTATCCTCCAAGCGTACAGCGGCGTTCCGTCGGAACTATCCTCCTAACGTACAACGGCGTCCTGTCGGAGCTATCCTCCAAACGTACAGCGGCGTCCCGTCGGAGCCATCCTCCTAACGCACAGCGGCGTCCCGTCGGAGCTATCCTCCTACCGTACAGAGGTGCCCCGTCCGAGTTATCCTCCAAACGTACAGCAGCGTCCCGCCGGAGTTTTCCTGCAAATGTACAGCGGCGACCCGTCGGAGTTTTCCTGCAAATGTACAACGACGCCCTGTTAGATCTATACCCCAAATGTACGGCACCCTGTCAGACCTATCCCCCGACCGCTCCAGCTGGTGTTCTTTTGGCGCTGCCCCCGCGGATCGTGCCTGTCGTCGCCTGCAATCTCAGCGATCGCACCTCGACGGCAGCCGGGCGACGGCCGTCCGACCGTGGCCCGTTTCTCGCAGGGCTCGCCTGGAGGCGGGGCTCCACCTGAACCGGGCCGGGCCACTTGACCGACTGAGTCACGCCGACGCACCGCAGGCTGTATGTGTTCATCTTGCAGCCGACGAGCTGACGGTTCGCTGCTCGCTGGTGGAATCGCCCGACGCGGGGCGGCGGAGAGTGGCGCCATAGACTCGAGGGAGCGGGGGAGGGGGCCGTTTGGGGGTTGGAGAGGTTCGACCACCGGCGCTGCCTCTGGGGGCGAAGGGGTTTGACAGCCGGCGCTGCCTCTGGGGCGGAAGGGTTTGACAGCCGGGTTTGCCCCTAGCGTAGAGAAACGCTGGACATGATCTCGGGTTGGCCTGGCTGCTGTGGAGCCGGGGCCGCGCAACGCTGGACATGATCTCGGGTTGGCCTGACTGTTGTGGAGACGGGTCCGCGCGACGCTGGACATGATCTCGGGTTGGCCTGACTGCTGTGGAGCCGGGTCCGCGCGACGCGTCCTGCTGGGTCGGATGCTGATGCGAATGGGACTTTGCCGACAACTTCACCCGGGTAGAATGTCAAGAGAACCACTGCTAAAAGAAATAAAGAATATAACGTCCGGAAGGTGCTGCCATCTCAAAGTATAATTGTTATAGCTATCATTAAAACATGAGATGAATTTGGTACAATACGGAACCGGCGAGCCGCATGTCCGAGCTTGTTTCACGCTTGCAGACACTGTGCTCGTCAACTCCCATCTGTTTTTGTTATCTGCCGCGCTCTGTTTCAGGAGATGGAGATGTTCAGTCCTGGCCTAATTGCATTGTTTTTCAACAACAGCATGTAGGGTCGTTGCATATCATATCGGCAAATGTCTGACACACATATTTAAACAAACTTGGCAATTTTCGGAGTCTCAGGCAGGCTTCATGTGTTTGTATGACTCTACTCCACGTTCTGTGCAGACGGCAGGCTTACCGCAACTGCCGCATGATTTAGTACTACCTCAAACCCCTATCCCTTCAGGATGAGCGCAAATTTGTTTTACCTCATATTGCACGCGGACTGCGCCAATGTTCCCAGTAGGTGATGGAAATGAATCACGTATTTGTTGTTTTCAGGATGTCACGCCGTTCTATAAGTACAGGAGGCCGATGTTCGTCACGAGTTTCGAGCCGTTCGGAGGTAAGTCATCAAACTGCACGCGTTCACTCCTTGTGTTGATCGGGCGCGGTTGTCTCTTTGTGTTAATCTTGCCTTGTTCGAGCCCTGGGAGTTCTTTGCTCTCGGCGAACGTTACTTGCCCTGCTGGAGGTTCGAGGCGTCATTTTGAAAATTTGGTGAAACACAGAGAGAGATTCAAAGGACCTCTTTTTCTATAATGCTGAGCGCAGTGCACTTGCAAGCGTTCCTATGGCAGCTTTCCTTTGCTACTAACCTATGTCAGTGCAAGCCGGAAGAAGCAGATATACTTAAAAACTCAGTATGACGTCAACAGTGGTATGTGCGCGATTCGCTGCTTCCCATCACCATGATCTACTCTGCGTTGCAGGAATCTTGGGCTTGGAAAGCTTCTGAAGTCGGCGGATACAAGAGTGCACCGCTGGCGGCAGTGTGACGGGAGACCATCATGGACACTGTCCAGGGCAGGGCAGCGGCGACCGATCGTAGAGCTTCTAAACTCTGACGCCAGTGACCAACCACGCGCCTGCTGAACTCTGACGTCAGCAACCCAATGTGCACCTTCTAAACTCTGACGTCAGCAACTAACCGCGCACCTGCTGAACTCTGACGTCCGTGACCAGCCGCGCGTCTTCTAAACTCTGCGACCAGAGACCAACTGCACACCTTTTATTTAATATTACATATACGAAACGACCTGCATTCAGCACAGCGCCTGTACATGCGCCGTTTGCACGAGATGCCCAGCATTTGGCCGAACTCTGACATCAGTGGCGAGCGCCATGTCCCAGCTTCCGAGCTCTGACGTCAATGGCCATTGGCCAGGCCTCTGAGCTCTGCCCTAGTGCCGTCACATATGTGACGATTGCTGGGACGGGCAGAGATGCTGCATGCCTGACGGATATGTAGGCCAAACATCGCGCGGCACACAAAGCAAAGACAAAACCAAAAATGGAGCAATGAATCTGGCTGCATTTGCGAGCTTTTATGCAAAACCTGTACCTGTTCACTACTAACATTGACGTTTGAGAATGACGTTTTTGATTAATGCCAAAGTGAGACGCAAAGCACGCGTGCCCCCATTGTCTGGAATTGCCGATGTCAGAGCTAGGCATGACAGGTTAGGCAAGTGGAGCACGTGACAGTGAGGCTCGGATCAGCACGCGAAACGATGACCAGTCGCTTTCAATCGACCAAAGGCTGCAGATTCAGGTTCTCCTTTCAAATACCACATTCCATGTAGAGGGTCTCAACTGTGATTATTTTTCATTCATTATTGTATATTTATTTTCAGTTAAGGACGCATTTTCATCGAAATGCGTTTGGCAAACATCGGTGCAGTTTTGCCGAAGTGGACACTGGAGCATAAGACGGCGATCGTCCTTACGTATTTCCACTTAGTGTTGCATGTAATCTAGCCGATATGAACGTGCGCGAAAGCGTTTTGCTGTGTCGCTACCGTGTCAAATCACGTATCCGGTGCGATGGCCGTGTTGAAAGCTGCTTTTGTTGGGGGTCATGCGTGTTGGATAGGTGAGTGTGATGTTGTAGCACTAGAATAGTTTGTCATCTATTGAGAATATCGCTTGAGAATAAACGTTTATTTAACCGCTATACTGTGTGAACACGTGCTTTAAGCAAACACCGAGAAAGCAGAAATCGACCATTCTCATGAGCATGAGCGTGGGAACCGTACAACCAGGCGCACAATTTCTTCACTCAGGGAACAATACGAATGCTTGGAAGAAGGCCCATCATTGCGACACTGAACGGCTATGTAACTTATATCTCAGAAACGCATGTATTTATTTCACTTCGGAAAAATAGCACACCGAGTGGGGCCGGACATGGGTGAGAATTCGGCCGGGCGTGGACTGCTGTACCGCTCCAGATCATTCCAGACTCGAGACCAAGCATGGATTGGACACTTACCCCATCACATATGTAACCAGAATCAGATAACTAAACCCCCACCTACAGAAAACAACAATGAGCCACCTCTGTCACCCAGTGCGAAGTCACGAAAGAGCTGCCAGTGGGAAAGGTCAAACCGATTCATATCCCGTCCGACAGGGACGATCGCCTTTGGCTGGATCTTACCCACGACAATCGCCTCTCGCAGCATGCCGGTCTGTGCTTCGCGCTCGGTGGACGTTGATTTCAATACTTAGCCCAATGTGGCTTCACGTAAGCAAAGATGAACCACATAAGCCTAGTGTGGCTGAAGGGCCTGCAGAGGTATAATAGCTGCAACAGTAGCACGATCCCAAATGTAACGACGGCCTACGGTTGCTGTTCTTTCACATCGTCAACAGGGTAATCGCCGATTTGCGGCAAACCCAATCAAATGGCCACGCAGGACAAAATCGCAGGCATTTAAAAGAATCCCGGGTTTGTTTTCTGATAGTATCAGTAAAAAAACATCGCCATTATCATTAGCATCTGCTTAAAGAAGAAGATGAACTAATTATAGCCTGTTTTGACCAGTGCACTGCTTTTTTCTGCGCTAGTTTCATATTTTGTCTGGCACCGCTCTCTCAGGGCTATGCCACACAGAACACCCTCCTTATGGCCGTGACCTGCAGAATGCCCTCCTTAGGGCCGTGACCTGCAGAATGCCCTCCTTAGGGCCATGACCTGCAGAATGCCCTCCTTATGGCCGTGACCTGCAGAATGCCCTCCTTAGGGCCGTGACCCCCAGATAAGCTGTGCAGTTACAGCTGCATCGACCAATCCGCGGCTGAGACCGTCAGATCACCTGAGACCCTCCACGGCGCGGGGCAGCAGTAACCGCCCACCGGGCGGCGCCAGCCCTGGAGGCCCACCCTCCCTGACCTCCGGCCACCAGGGCGTGGTCTGGGCGCCCGCCGACCCACCCTTTCGTCGGCTGTAACAACCCAGCCCGTCCTTGAGAAGGCACGAGCAAGTATTGAACTCGACCTAGATGCGGAGCCTCCGCTGTCATAAACGTATACAATGGGCTGTCGATGCATTTCCGCCATGTTCGGGTCAGACAGGGCAAGCTATGGCCGAAGCGCACGCCCGGGTCAGGGGTCACGGGCGAGGGCCGGGCGCCGACAGGCCGAGCCTCAGCGAGCGGAGGCGGCGTCTTATGGGGGACCCGCCGTCAGTCTGCGGCACAACTCCAGGCCGCGCACCAATGCTTTGGTGAAAGGCGGCAAGCGACGCGGGTTTGGTGCCGCTGAGATGAATGGCGAACAGCAAACGCACGAGGTGTGAAAGTGAAATATTTCTACAGTGTCGTGTGCTCTGATTCTGGACCAGTCGGAGAGAAGGACCCACCGACAACGGAGAACATCGCTGCCGTATTCGAAGGATTAATAAAAGCATGAATGTTTCACAGTACCAAGGTCCAGGGACAACTATCAGCAAATGAATCCCAACCGTTACTACTGATTGTGTAACGTCGCAGACGTACGCAGACGACACAACAAAATTATTTTGGCTTCCAATTCATCGCAGCGCACTGTTGTCATTGACAGCATTTCTAAGCTCTTTACTTTGTTTCCAACATGCAGCGGCACCGTAAAGCTACCCGCACGATTGGACAAATTAATTTGCTCATGATGCTCGCCGGTATCCCCAACTTAACACGACAAACCAAATGGATACTGAGGCCAGGGAGCGAACAGGTAGGCAATCATCAGGCGGGAAATAAGCCCACCCTCGACGGCAGATAACAGACTGTCATCGCGGGCTGAAGCTGGAGACCCACCTGTGATTACTTAGCCAAATCAGGTCCGTGGTTCAGACAAAGATCATCATAGCTTTTTCCTAAGGCAATCTGTTAGAAGTGCCTTTTAAAAACTTTACTGGAAGTATTACGTTAATAACTATGGGAGGTGTCGGGATAATTCATTCGTCGTTCTCAAGCTTAAATCGGTGCAAAGGCGTCATCGATGTTCCTTCGAGGTATGTTTTCGCCACCTCAGCGGGTACGGAAATGCTGATGCTATTTCGAAATAAAAAGATGAAGATGTCAAAAATGGAGCCTTATGAAGCCCTGACGCGGAGCGCAATACATGGATTTTCGTATATGTGGTGTCTGTGCGGAGAATCATGACGGCGTGACCTGCTTAAATGTTGGGCTGTGAAAAGGCTTCATTCAAAAACTTAAGGTTTTATTTAACACGCGCCCGGGTGAGGGTCATTTTGACCCCCTGAGGGTTTTTCCAGACTGGTTTCCGAACGGCGCGGAGTAGCACCAAATTTGGCATAGCCGCAGCCAATTGATTAAAGGATCGTTTGGTATAAACAATTTGCATATACCTTGTAAGCTTGCTAACCCATGTCAGGCTAGTCGAGCCATGGATTCATGGATTCAGCGAAGTTAATTTCTCGGGAATCGTTCAATCTGATGCAACAACGCAGTGGTAGACGAAGCCAAACATCTCTGCGATGCTTTCTTAGACAACACAACAATTGAATGGACAATGCCATTGACTTTGGGTCAGATACGAATGTCAGATCAATGTCAAAGCCAACCTGTTTTCTTACTCTAGGGCTTGCAGTGTGGGGCTATTCATGGTGCTCATTTCCAATTCATTGACAACAGGAACCGCATTATACATCTTCCATGGGCTTCTTGGTATTGGTCTTTTTCCATGGTCTTGTATGATTTTGGTCACTTTGACTTTCCAAGGGTCAAATAAGGTCACTTAACCTAAATAAGCATGTGACCTTTTGCTTAGAACAGATATCTAGGTTCTGTGGGCACTTTGGACACCAACCTAGAGTTTGACCTTATTCAACCTTTTTGACCCGAAGGTCATGATCTAGGAACCTCAAACTTTGACCCAAGTGAGATCACGTACAGGTCAACACACCCTGTAGATTTGGTGTCTCTAGCTCCCTTGCTTTTGAGATCTCAATGGGTCAAACTGACCCCCACCCGAGCGGGAGATATCGAACGGGCCACCCGAGCGTGTAAGTTTCAAAGTGGTTTTTGTCAGGTTTCAGCTAAAATCACCGTGACCTTTCCTTCTGGGGTTTATTCTCAATACTCCGCGTAACACAATATACCATCTTATCATAAGGCTCAGCTCCTATTCTGTACCCCTCCGAGTCATCGTTTGCGATCCTTCCTTATCGCCACATGTTTTGATAAAACATGCGGGTGACTCAACATGAATCGAAGGAAGACGTCACAATTTGCATATACGTGCTAAACACGGCGCACTCAACAGGAGCAAAACGCAGCCTTCATTTAGCTAGCGTTCGTGATGTCATGCTTCCATTTAGGAAACCGGAGAATAGTAAACATGCTCCAAGTTTGCTTCCTCAGCAACACGCAAATTCTTCACTTGAGAAGAAACTTTTCGCAAATGAAATGCCGTCACACACTGCCACGTGCTGAAAAGTTTAAGACCGCTGACAAAATAAAGTACTACCGCCGCGCACTCAACTGCCCAGCCTGAGCCTGCCCAAGCTCAACCCGAGGCAAAACTTTGCCCGTCCACAAATTGCGTTACACTGAGACGTAATATTTGTTCGAGCTATTGTTCTCGTGTGGTGTGCTGGTAGGTGCACGACGTTTCCGGCAAGTACCTCTCCGGCCGTTGTCAGGTACTATGCAGTGCTCAGAAGCTCTCTATGTTTGGCTTTCAGTCACGTGCGTTCCACAATCCGAATTCCCTCCGTGGAATCGCTGGGTTGGAATCAAGGTCTTGCGATTGCGATTCAGTCCTCCACCAACTGAGCTGACCGAGGACCTCACGCCTCGGCAAACCCCGGTCCCTGAGTTCAGCCTTAGCTGGCCGCAACTGTCCTCGCGAGACCACAACTCACTGCCCCCTCTTCACGCTGGCCCCAACACAACCCTGTGAGCATGCACGACCCTCGTCGCGGATGCCGGGCAAGCCGACTGAGGCGTGGAGGAACAGCTGCGCATGAAGCAAGCTGCACGGCACAGCAAGGCGAAATGCTTTATGTGAGCGAACCAGCTTGGCCTGACCCGGTCAAACCGCGCGGCGTTTCCTAGAAATAATTGTTCTTGTGCGTAATAGTGGTACGTTCATTGCGCTTGACGTCTTAAGAAATGATATCACCGTCATGTTGCAGCTGCCATCTTGCTATTCACGTTCGCTGATGAAAAATATGATCTTATGTTGACTAAACGAGGTTTATTTTGATTGGCTATCACAATTTCGCGCATCGAAACGAGGTGAATAGGATACTCACGAGACATTTAGTCACTTGCCCATTTACAAGCAACTAATTTATTGACAGCTGAGGCTCATTATCGCCGCTTCTCGGTATGTAATGTAATGCTAATGCCGGAGAGCTAGTATGTAATGCTACATGAGGCCTTACACTTCTTGCGAAGGGATTAATTTTTTCTCACCGGCGCAGACCTCAATCTGTCCTTACGTAAGCAGGATCCCGAAACCGGCTGTCATCAGACGCTGTACCATTACCACAAAATGCGTATGAGATTCGCCGGCTTCTAACTGGTCATGGGTAAGCTGGTAATATATTCATAACCCTAGTGGAAGCATAACGCAGACAACATGCAGTTATCATACAGTCACACTGGCATGGGGCGACTGTTGAAGTGATGACCCAGCACTGTTGAATTGATTTTTGTCTGGGGAATCCGCTTTCTGACATCAATTTACAAGTTTGCTGTCTGTAAATTTTGCGACCCGATTGTGGGTATTCTTTTCTCGCAAGATGGTATTCGGAGTTGCCACCATATTCTCAAAACTGCCACCAAAACCGGCCACCGCAACCACACGACAGAGAAACCTTTCACTACTTTTTCGAAACGACTGACCGACACGCCCATTGCTGGCCGCCGACCCTGACACTCTGGCCCAGACAGCCGAGCTCGCATGTATGGATGATAGATGGTATCCAGGGCAAGCGTGACATTTGGCAGCCTCTAAAGCGCCGCCATGACAGGCACGCCCGCCGGGGACAGCCGGTCCCGTGTCACACGTCCGTGGCGCGCGGAAACTCCAACGGTGTGTAGAAATTATGCAAACTGGCCCCACTTTGGTATCTACATCAAATAAGGTCCATAAAAATCATAACGGTTATCAGCATCTTTCGCGCTTGGCTCTTGTCCGCTGTCGCCAGGCATGACAATCCAGCGCTTGAGGATTTCCTCACAGTCTGCATTTCCTGCATGGTCTCATTTTCCGCACAGCGCCTTATATGTGGTGATGAGCGTAAGGTTGATCTGCACCCAAAGTGCCAAATGTCTCTCAGGGCAGGCGTAAGAAACGAATGGGTATTGTACTCACCAGTTTATTGACATACGCAGAAAGAAACAAGACACAAGGACGACGTAACTGACTCACTTACACTTCAACAGACTCGACTCGCTCCTCGCGGAAAATCGCTGCAGACAAAACCCGGCCGATCGTGCGCCGACCCGTGGCACCGCCCGCTCGTGTCCGTGGCCGTCTCAGATCTTAAGCACCTGGACGGCGAACTTGTCCTGGAACAAGCCGTCCTTGGTGGTCGGGGTCCTGATCCTGGCGTACGACCCGCCCACCTGGCCCCGGGCCAGTCTGGACGGGTTCACCACCAGGCACCCGCTCACCTCCTGCAACAGGTCAACGCGTCAACAGGGGGCGGGGGAGACGGGTTAGTCAGTCGCCTCCGACCGTCCGGGACAACATATGAGGTCTGCCAATAGTGACCAGCACGATGTGAGAAAAAAATGACTGGGGAGTCAGGGACCGTCTGGCAACCGGCAAAGAAACACGGATTCGGACGGCAGACGCCGCTTGACCTCAGGACTAGAACCCGGGGCAGCTCTGGGTCACACCAGAGAAAAACTGCCACTGCTCAGAGCCAAACGCCATCACCAGTAATCGTTCCACCAACCACGGTCCCCGACGGTAGGAGGCAGCGTTTGGGCCCAGACTGGGGACCCACTGCTCAAGGACCCACCATCCGCGCTGCGCCCTGCCCGGGGGCCCACTTCCTGCAATGCGTCCCACCGCCCACGCTGCTCCCCGGCCCGGGGACCCATCGCCCGCACTGCGTCCGGCCGGCCGGGGAGCCACCACCCGCATTACGTTCCGCTCCGGGACCCACCGCCAGGGGACCCGGCGCCGGCTCCGCGACCCGCCGGCGGCAGGATTCCCGCGAGGTGACATGGCGACAGTACAGCACGTCACAGACGCACCCTGTCCCAACGAGCCGCAGCCGGCCGCCTGCTCCAGCTGCAGGATCAGCCGCCAACGGCACGTGGACGAGCGACGGCGGGTAACCCAGGTTAAGTCCCGGCGGTCCCCCACCCGGTGCAGCGGCGCGAGCAATGACAGCGCGCTCACAGGTGAGCGTGGCCGAGGTGGGCCGCAGACTCGGAATGCATGGGCGGGGTGTGCGCGCGAACTGTGAGCACCATATCGACCCCGGCGCTCGCGAGACTAGAACAAGGGCGTGCCTGGTTCGGAGCGTGGACGTGCGACAAACAACGCCAGTGACTGACCCGACGGCAAGGGAGCAACAACAGTGGCTGTTTGGAGGTGTGTCGGTGGGGACCATGAGCTGCAGTGTCACGGCCGCTGCACAGTGGGTGCACTCACGGGCCGCGCCGTCAGCCGGAGGCCGGTATGCATTGTTCTGTCGGCTACCCGCCACGCCGTCCGTCGACACTATCACAACCACCCACGCTCCACGTGACAGTGGAGCAGGACAATCGACCGGCCGCACGCCAAAAGAAAATGATATAATTAAAATCCTGCTGCACGTATAACACGCCGATTGCGGACCGCGTTGGTTTCCGGCTACCGATGAAATGTGACAACTGGCGCGCGGAGCGGGCGGTAACGCATGGCGCGGCGATCATCCGCGGCGCGTCAGACGAGAGGTGACGTAACACCAGACGCTAGTCTCACCGTCCCCCCCCCCCCCTCCCCCACCCGCCTCGCCCCGCACCTTGACGAAGCCTCTGAAGTCGGAGGGCGTGATGAGGAGGTGCGGCAGCACGGGCAGCTGACAGTGCTGCTGCCAGTGCTGGAAGTCCAGGCCCACGCTCTCCTCGGCCGGGTACAGCGGGTAGAACGACTGCTGGCCGATGAGGTAGCCGGAGAGGCGGGCCAGCCGGTCGCTGGAGCCGGGGCCCGGCCTGGCCACGCACAAGCCACGCGTCAGTCACGGCTTGCACGCCTTTCAGCGGCTCGTGTTTTCAAGTACGGGCGCTGAGTGACAGATAGTATGTGAACACTCTCGCACCGCACTACGGCGTGCACGACGTGATGCATGACTCCTACACCTTGCGGTTTATTTTGCACTGCATCGCCTACTGTGTACTTATTTTGGCGTGACGTTGCAACTACATGCACACATAATCCATCACCTGACCTACCTACTTAAAAGTCATTAAAATGGTAACAAAGAAAAACAGCAGCCCTTCTTATCCGCGCCTATTAGTTCCCGAAGGCTGGGGGGTCGGTGGCGCCCTCACAGTTTGATATCCTGCTGACTGAGGTGCATGAGCACGTCGGTAGATGTCGCTCCGATCACCAGGCCGTCAACGGCGAAGCAGCACGGGTTCGGCAGCATGGTGAAGGGGCCGGCGGCAGTGGCCAACGGTGGCGTGGGCATCACCGGCTCAGCGTGCAGGTCGGCCGTCGACGGCAGCAGCAGCACCTGCGTGTGCGACCTGCGGGGGCGGAGGTCGGCAGAGGTCAGCAAAAGTCAGCGGCGGACCGCAGTCGCCGTCTGCCAAACCAGGCAAGGCTTGCAGCGAGCCGCGACATCCGAACATTGGACCAAGCCTGCACCGGCAACGGCGGGCCCCCGGCTTATGACCGTTGAGCATGACTTGTTGAAATTAAGTCACGGTGGAAAATCCCGGGTCGACAATTTCCGGCTCGTGCTTTTGCAACTGCACACCTTAGTCCAGCAGCGATTCATAGCGTGTGACGCACAACTCTGCAAACTTTAAAACAATATGACGCGTTTTCCAGGCTCGACCCTCAGCACGTAATCTTGCTAGAAATGTTTGGCAGACTGAAGCTATTACTTTGCTGTTGACGCTGTCTTGCGTTGTTAGAGAAATGTATATGCAGAGTGCGCATATTCCTAATTTCCGCAGCCGTCGCCAAATCTGTGCAGACTCCACATTCCAAAAATGTTCAGTCTTTTAAACGTCTCAAGTTTTTATTTCAATTCCATTAACTATCTTAATTCTATTAACTCGTTTGCTAGTGACGTTTACTAGTTACACATACCCTACCCTAAAACGGCAAGTATTCTCACGACATATCAAAATGATTGCTTGATGTCTTCATTTATACAGCACTTCACGGCATTCTCGGGTTCTGCTATTTTCAGCGAGTGTTCCGCATATGTATGGGATTTTGAGCTGAAAGAGCCACTTTCAGGATCATTCGGTGCAGTTCAATATCTTCGATAGAGGGAAAATCCCTTTTAAGCGATATTGCATACACCAAGCATGTTTCCGCGGCATCCACGCAGCTCTGTTGACCATTTTCTTACATATTTCATACGCACGACGGCAACGGAATTGGATAGCAGTCAGAGGGCCGGCGTCACATTTGACTGGTTTTAAAGGAGAACCATGCCGTCACCGGTTAGCTCGTGGTTCCCGATCCATACGCACTTAAGCAGTGCACTGAGACTCAAAACAGGAATACCTCGCCCAACCGCACCAGCGACTTATTGAAAATGCGCTTCGTCAGGGGCGCGGACCGCTGCACTCTGACTGCACACTACTGCAAAGCGCTGGCTCTAATGATGGGCGTGAAATACGTCATTAAAAGCGTCATCGGACACTCCGAAGCTGATATCAAGTCCGCGAGGCCCTGCTCTCAGTCCTCAAAAGCTCAGAGTCCCTTAACCGACCCCTGTTGGAGGAAGCTCGGCCAAACTGTCCACCCACCCAGACGGACCAGTGCTGCATGTTTCCCCAATAGTGGACACTGGAACAGGCGGGAGACGAACACCTCCCGCAAGCCAACACACCCGGACCAATACTTCCGCCAGCGGAGCACTCTGATGAATGCAATACACGTACGACTGGCGCGATACGCATCGGGCCTCACGGACCACACGACGCACCCTTCCACGGAAGTGTTTAGTACGATCAGGTGGCCTGTCGCACTTGATCAGTCACAAGCCGTTTTGACAGTTCTCCTCCTGTCCAGCACAGCGGCTGAGCAAAGCTGAGACACAACAGTGGCGTGCCTGAGGTTTTATGCACGACTGCAAGAGCTGTCAGTACTACTGCACACATTACAGCTGTTCTGAGACACAACTCAACCATTTTCATTTCCGAATAATGTTATACATTTTTAGTCATTTACCGCCGTAGGTAGCCATTTAGCTGTTATGGGCGCAAAATGACCACAGAAGTCGACGCGCCCTAAAACTCCAACAACAACTGTTCTGATGACGTTGCAGAGTCGTGATCCAACAGTTCCGCCTAGAGCACGTTCCGCCTGAACTTCCAACGAAACGTCCAACAAGGATTCTTTTTTTTCATGAAACGCGACGAACATCGTCGCGCAACCTTTCACGCATATCCAGCGACCCGTGGGCTCACATTAGCGCTCAAGGCCCATGCCACAAACGGGATTGAAGCCCGGGCAAGCTGGTGTCCTGGTGTCTTCAGGCGGAAGACAAGCTGTCAGCAATAATCGTTTGCGGGCTCCTTCAATCCCATTGTACAACGCGTGTACAAATGTACTGCTACGACTATCCCATAATGTGCGTGGTGGCCTAGCGAACAAACTCAGCAAGGACCGCTCTCCCTGGGGGTGAGGGTGAACGTGGGGGGAAGGGGAGGGAGACTGGCCACCCGCGTGGCCGTCCCGGCCTTCCAGCCTGGCCGACTGCTCAGTCGGCCCCTCAGCCTGCCGCCCTCTGTCGGCGACACCCGCCAGAGTCACGCACGCACAGCGGAGCGACCAGCAGCAGGGGTGACGCGTCCGGCCGGCTCCGCCTACGGCGTCTGGCGGACGTGGGGGGGGGAGGGGGAGGCGCCAGTCCTGGGGTGGCAGCCGGGTCACATGTGCCGCGGAGTCGCATGTGGCGGCCCCGTTCTCGCCGCGCCAGGAGCGTACTGAGCACGCCACGAGCCGGCCAGCCGGCAGCCCCGAGGCCCGAGGCCGCCGGACCCCTGCCCGACCCGCGTGTTTGCTGAGTCCCGCGAGCAGACAGAGCGTGGCGGGCCGCCCCCGGGTGATCACTTCTGGGCGAGGATACAGCGGAGCCCGCTCCCCGCTGAGCAGGAGGCCCGGCAGTCCGGTCACAGCCGGGGGTGGGGGGAGGTTGCGAGGTAGCGAGCACGTCCACAACACCAACAACGCAACATCGGACAACGCGTTCCGTCCAAATGTGTGCTGCAGTCTTTGTGTAGGAAGAGCAACACCAATAAGTCCGTTTCGTGCATAGAACACGAGCTCTGTAGACAGGGATTTATATATATATATATATATATATATATATATATATATATATATTATAATAACTCACAGCAGCACCGTAGTAGACAGGAGTAGGGCGGCACTACACCATAATATCCGAATGAGATTTATTTTGGAGAACAAAACACAATGTTCGGTTCAGCACCTCCGCGACAATTTAAGAGCCGTGTTTCTTCCCTTCAGACACTTCGCTTCAGACACACACACACCGACGGAAGAAGCACGGGAAACAAGGGCTCGGGGGAGGGGCACGTGGGAGAGGAGCGGAAATTACAACTTTCTGAAAAGTTATCATTACCCCTATGAATGATGGCTGGAAAGAAAAAATTGAAGAATATATTCCTTTCTTGAGAGAACTTCCGGTGCCCATGACCGTGTCACTTAATTTAGCGTTCTGTAAAAATTTCACACTTTTACTCGCTCCACCGAAACAAGTGCACGCATGCGACAATTTTTGGTGTCTAATGGTGTGGGAGACGGCCCGCGTTTTGTTATAGACTGTGGGGGCGTATCCCTCACGGTTTTGTGTCACTGAAAGCCATGGGTTCATCCTGACTTTCTAAGTTCCTATTTTTACAGCTCTCATGCCACGTGAAGCCGCACCTTCAATGATCAAGGGGCAAACATCTAATACCTGAAAATAGTGAACAGAGATGGAGCAGATTACTTGCACCAATTGGAGTTCGAGAATGTTGAATTTCCTACGAATAAGGCCATTTCTCTACCAATTGTTATCCTCACGGTATGATCTATAAGGAATGCTCTAGGCTGCACCTCAACGACCACCACTTCCATCGAGCCCGGAATAACATAGCTGCATTCAGAGAATCACATAATCAAAGGAACGATATCCAGAACAATCTGACCAATGAAGGTGTTGATTTGCCGGTTCAGCAGTCGGGTTACGGCAGAGTACCCCAACAGCTAAGTCGACGGATGATGTTGATCTGACTTACCCGGCCAGCGCAGTGCGCATCAGCTCCAACAGCCGGTTCCACAGCTGCTGATACGTCTCCGCCAGCTCGTTCTCAATGATCTGAAAACGAACAACTGTCAGCGGGACGAACACCTGGAGGTCAACTGGAGGTCAACACCCTACGCGGACGATGGGGCCATCGGTACTAAAATCGGCGGCACGAACAGACCTCATGTTCACGATCCTGCGACCCCATCCAAATGCGTTGCACGCGTTTCCATACCCCGAGCCACACGGGCACGAGTCCACACGCACCCAACCACCTGGTAGCCAGGCAGACAGCGCACTGTTCAAACCTGCAACAGGAGAAATGGCTGGCCCAGCAGACGCTTTCCCCAGCACTCCGCACTCCGCACTCCGCAACGTCAGCATTTCTACCTCCGAGTTGTCATTCCCCATGACGTTAAACATTGGTGCTTACGGACGCGTCATCCGCCACAGTCATTTCATGCCCGGACCGGTTCTGGCCATGCCAGACACGTCTTCTGTCGGCTTTCCGGTGCTCTTAGCTGGTGAGTAAACGGCCCTGAACCCGACGAGGAAAACAACTCAAGATCGCCTTGAATCCGAAGAGAAAAACAACTCAAGATCGCCCTGAATCCGACCAGGAAAACACCTCAAGATCGCCTTGAATCCGAAAAAAAAAAACTTCAAGATCGCGCGCCAATCAGCCGCCGGTGGTTCGCCAAAGAGCGAGTTGCGAGTCACGTGACTGTCCAGAGGGCTGCTCGAGCTTTCAGAGCGCGTTCAATCCGAACATGCCTGGACCGCTGGCGGTTGCCTACAGCGGCAGCAGACGGACCCGTTCGGTCTCCGGAAGCTGCGCAGTCCCCGGTGATGGATGGCTGCTGTCTAGTGAGCACACGTTTACTCCAGTCGCCTGATGATGATAATGATGATGGCGAGCCCCGACCGACTGCTTCAGAGTCAGAATGACTGTTTAAGATACCCTACTGACTACTTAAGAGCCCCAACTGACTACTAAGTGCTTCGACCGACTGTTTAAGAGTCCCGACTGACTGCTTACTCAGAGTTACTACAAACCAGTGCAATGCGCTTCAAAGATCAGCAACCGGTAAAATCTGAGGCATAAATCGCATGTTTATGAAGACAAACTCATCGCACCAGACCAGACAGACGCTCAGTCTAACACTCGTGAGTTCGATGCCAAGACGGCAAGGACAGCAATGACGGAAAGAACACGGAAAACCCGTACGGCTTCCGTACCACGGGGGTCAGCATCAGTCAATGCCGTGCAGGAGAGATTACAAGCATTCTGACCTTCCCGCCCTTCCAGCACATTCGCTTCAAGACGTAGTTCGCCGATCAAAGCGTGGTACACCGACTTCCGGCTCCAGGCAGGACCTTCCCGGACGGCACATGACGCCTGAGACGCTTGGATGCTGGGCTGACAGCCGCCCGCTCATATGCTGATTGGCCTTTTTTGAGCAAGGGAATAGGCAACAGACAGCGAGCACAAGCCGGGGTGCAATAGCATGAGCAAAATATCGACATCCCTGCCACCCAAGCGGCCGAATATTGAAACACTGTAAATTCCAAAGGCCCATGCGTATGACAACGAGCATTATCTCAAAGGGCTAGGGCAGGCGATGCGTCCGAGCTACAGGTCTGAGGTGTTACAGTTCTGAGTCACCCCCACCAGCCGCGTAAGTGGCACTGCGTCGGTTTGGCGTGCTGCGACGAAAGAGTGTTCATTTTTCAGATATATAACGACCCATGGCGATTTATTTGATAGATCGTCTGCGCCTGGTGCTGCTCACCACGTGAGCGATGCTGTAAACTTCACCTTCGTTACAGAAAACCAACGCGGTGCGATTCCTAGTTCTTCGATTGAAATCTTAATGGTCGGGATTCGCGGTAACCTGGAACTGGAACCTGCACGTCGACGCTCTCTGCCCTGTCAAGGCGATCAGCTTCCGCCGCTCCGAGCGGCCCTGGCTGAGCAGCAGCGAGGAGCTGCACGACCCGCAGGGGAGGCGAGACACCGCTCGGCGCGCGCGTGACGTCACGAAGACGGACGAGGCACAACGTAAGAACAGGGCCCTCAAAAAGGAATTCACTAGTCGGCTCAGGACTGCCAAAGCGGACTTCTTCAAGTGCGACCCCACCGAAACATCGAAGAAAACCTGGTGCAAGCTGAAGAAACACGCCATCGCTTACAAACCGCCAAAATCTACCAACACTCTGGACCCGACACACGCCGACAAATTCAACGAATGCTTCGCCACAGTGGGGCAGCGTACTGCCGACAGCCTGAACAGCGAACCCGGTGCGGACCTGCCTCCGCAGCTGCCAAGGGTGGTCAGTGGCGCTTTCCGCGTCAGACCGGTCACCCTGACGGAGCTTAGTCTTGCGCTGCGCCGCATGAGCAACTCCACGGCAGTAGGTCCGCACAATGTATGCCTATCCGTGATCAGGAAGTGTTTTGAAGTGGCTGACCCCCAGCTGTTACACGTTGTAAACCACTATATCACCACCGGTAGCGTACCGACCATCTGCAAAAATTGCGACAATCGTGCTTTTCGTGCACGATTGTCGCAGTGAGGGACTGGCGTCGGAGCGGTCGAATTACGGCGTTCTCAGTGTTGTAACGCGGCTGACGGATGAGGCTGTACCCAGGTTTTAGAATGTGTGACTAATCACCACATTCTTGTTGACTCACAACACGCGTGCTGTCCTCACCACTCCACCGAGCATGCAGTCATTGATATAGTTAGCCACGCAGGCAACAACATGGACGCCGGTATGGTCACCACCATCAGCTCAACTGACTTGCCAAAAGCCTTTGATTGTGTAGACCGGTCCGCTCTTTTAGCCAAACTGGAATCCTATGGTATTTCACCACACTGGTTTTCGGATTATTTCACCGACCGCCGACAACCTGTGAAGGGTGGAAACGGGCTGAGCCTTGAGGTCGTGTATGGCGTGGTTCAGGGTAGGATAGTAGGACCGCTGATGTTCCACTTCTTCACCAACGACGCCCAGTGTTGTGTTTCAGCTACGTGTAAACTGGTGTCATATGCAGACGACATGCAGCTCATGCATGAATCATCACCATGTGCCTGTGGTCTCGCACAGCTGCGTTCGTGTGTTGAGTCCGATCTGACTGCAGTCTCAGTATGGTTTCGTCACAATGACATGAAGATCAACCCATCAAAAACTGAATTCGTTGTTGCTCGCACACCCACCAACACCCCAAAGCTGCCGGGCTGAGAGTGAGTTTTGATAACTCCCAGCTGTCCCCTTCAGAGTACATCAAAGTACTAGGGGTGCTCATCGATAAAAATGTCAACTGGCAGCATCAAACGGCCAAAACTACTCAGCGCTGTTTTGGCCCCCTGATAACTATTTACAAGCTCATGCATGTGCTTCCCAGCTCCACAATAAAGTCCCTAGTTGAGTCACTGGCCTTCCCTCAGATCAGATATTGCTTACCTGCATGGGCCCCGACAACAGTCGTTCGGCGCCAGCGCCTTGATAAGGCTGTTAACTTCGCGGTGAGCATTGTTGCCGGCAAACGCAGACGAGATCACATCACGGAATCCAGAAAACAGCTAAACTGGCCTAATTTCGACGAGCCTGGCACCCACCGCGACTGCATATGTTTGCATCACGCCATTTACGTGTCTGATCGGCCACGGGCTTTCAGCGGCACACCAGAGCCACCGATGACGAAACTGCACCGCAGACGAGCGCTGTAAAACACCCTCGCTTAGAGTGCATGAAAAGGGCATTTCCCTGTCGAGTCGTGGTGGCATGGAAGTGCCTCTCTGCTGCCACACGCCAGTGCAAAAACTGAAATGAGTTCAAGGGCAAAGCAACGTCTTTCATCAGAGAACCTACCTAAATTGACCAACTGGCCATGACGTGCAGGTACTGATTGTATCACAAGTCGCTCATGTTCTACAACATCGTATGTGTATTGCTGGCGTTGCGTCCCACTCGCATGTGTTGCGTGTTCTGCGTTTATCTATGTGACATGTACTGACGCGGCGCTAGAATAGCCACCCGCTGGATTTCGCCAAGGTTCGCAGCACTAATAATGATAAGAACACCTTGTTTCCAGCAGACAGCACGGCAAGACACCACGGCGCTACCATTAGAGAACGCTTGCCAGATCGTGCTCCCAACAACTTCTGCGTCGGTGTCAATTGTATCTCCGTCCTACAGGACTGACAATGGCAAGGATAAGTTTGTCTAGACGCCCACTAAACTGTCCCGCACCCCGCTCAGTGGCACCGACATGCACATTCTGCGCAGACCTACCAAATGGTGCGCTTCGCTTCGCGCGTGAGGAGCTTCCATTCGTAGCTTCGGTGCGGGTGTCTCCGGGCTGGGGGCGGCTACCTGAGTCACGCGCGTGAGGAGCTTCCATTCGTAGCTTCGGTGCGGGTGTCTTCGGGCTGGGAGTGACCACCTGAGTCTCGCGCGTGAGGAGCTTCCATTCGTAGCTTCGGTGCGGGTGTCTCTGGGCTGGGAGTGGCTACCTGGGTCACGCGCGTGAGGAGCTTCCATTCGTAGCTTCGGTGCGGGTGTCTCAGGGCTGGGAGTGGCTACCTGAGTCTCGCGCTCAGGCAGCACGAGCCTTCACCCAGCCCTCGACTTCTCGAGAACTCAGCCATCGCTCAGTTCGCATCGTGGCCGTGCGCCGATATTCAAACTTGTGGGTGGAAAATGACGCCCTTCACGTAGGATCCCGGGTTCTCAGTTTTGAATTCGTTTCCCGATCTTGGTCCTCCATTCATGAGGACCGAATTTTCGGCTGATTTCTATCTCCTCCAGGGCGGCACCAGGTGGCAGGGGCGCCGCTGGCACTGGAGCATCGCCAGTGATACTGCGAGTGTCGTGGTGATCGGTCCGATTTTGCATTCGCGAATACGAAGGACATGCACGATTTGTGCACCAAATGTCGCCTTGATCAGGGGTAAGAACCCCCTCCCCTCTCCACGGACATTATTTTTAAGGCGTCTCGACCGCTCATGCTGAGGACATCAGCGCTGACTACGGCCCGCTGTTGCGGTCTCTTCTACTGGGCGACTGCGTCTCTAAACGACCAAGTGCTATTGATTCCCAGTACACGCACTGGACCTCTCTGAATGAGAAGCCCTCCGTCCCCTTATTAGACAGGAGCTCCTTTGAACAAGAGCCGTTATGGGCGTAATGTGACCTTTGATGTCGACGCGCCCTATAGCCCCACATCATCATCATCCTGAGCAGTCACAAAAAAGTGTTCTGACAAAGCCTCTAGAACAATTACCTTTCAATGACAAAATCATACTACTACCACTGTCACCAAAAGTAGGCGTGGCTGCTGCCACACAAGCCATGCGCACACTTCTGTGCCCAGAAAGACGAGCGCTGTCGGAAGGAAGTGTGGGCTCATTGCCGCCGTTTGCCCACGTAACTGTCCCGACTATACGGTACTTTACACAGTGCGGTGCAGCTCCGGCCCGGTGCGCACCATTCCGCCGCCCTCCTCCGCCGCAGTGACCGACCTCGTGTCAGCAAAGCACCACGCAACTATCACCATTACCACCAGCGTTCCGGAGGGCCCGGCAGGGCACGGGGACGGACCTTGGCGTCGATGAAGGGTCCCATGAGCAGCAGCAGGTGCGGCTTGAGGCGCGCGGCCTCGGCCAGCAGGTCCCGGAGGGGCGTGTACAGCAGGTCCTCGGCGGTGGTGAAGGGGCCGCAGGCCGCCAGCAGGGTCAGCTCTGCGGCACGGACGGGCCGCGTCACACCACCGGGTCAGGGACGCGCGCTGGCAGGGACGCAGGGACGGGCTGCATCACACAACCGAGCTAGGGACGCTCGCTGGCAGGGAAGCAGGGACGGGCTGCATCATACAACCGGACCAGGGACGCTCGCTGGCAGGGAAGCAGGGAAGCAGGGACGGGCTGCATCACATAACCGGACCAGGGACGCTCGCTGGCAGGGACGCATGGACGGCATAACGTCGTCCGCTGGCCACAACGACGACAGGACCGAGATGCCGATCTCAGAGGGGAGACATCGCACGGCCCGGACAAGGATAATGACCAACAGGGAAGGGGGATCAAAGCACGCACATACAGAATACAGCAGGGGTGAGGGTCACGGGAGGCCTATGACGGGGACACAGGTGGAGTCCGCGGGGACAGGGACCATGCCACCACGACATGCGTGCTGGCTTCGGGGGGGGGGGGGGGAGGAGGGGATGGGAAGGGGGAACAAGGGCACGAAGGCCATCAGATGGTGGTGTCCCGGCCAAAGATCGGACGAAGCCGCTGGACAGAGGATCTCGACTTCGATAGCACCACGAGCTGCCGCCGTGACGGCAGACCACCGCCACAGAGGATCATGGGGTGCCGCAGCTGACGCCCAGTCTCCACACCGTTACCCAGCTTCCCCTACTGAGAACGTCCTGATACCGCCGGCCTAACCCACCAGAATTCCCGGCTCTTGTAATCCCCTTCACCGCAAGCCCGACACCAGTCTGAACCTCCCAGCACCGGCCTGCGCCCACCGCAGCGGCCGGGAACCACCCAGGCTTTCCCACGCCCCTCACACCCCTCCGCCCCCTCGCGGTGGATGGCGCCACATCATCGGGCCGACGTACCGTGCGTCAGGTGGGCCGGGTCGGCGGGCGGCGGCGGCGCCGAGCTGAAGATGCTCGACGCCACGAACGTCTTGCCGGTGGGGTTCACCCCGGTCACCGCCACCACCTGGCGGACGGCAGGCGAACCAGACGTTCACGCGGGTGACGAGACGACACAAAGCTGCTGAAATTCGGTGGTCCGGCGCGAATGGTAGTCGCGCTGGCATAATTCAGGGGGAGGGGGGGGGGGTTGCACTGTACTTTTGCTTAGTGCCAGCACTCCGCATTTAAAGCTTGACTGATGTGCAAAACGAGTAAGGAAAATAAGGCGCTAGTAGAAACACAGGTAAGAACTCCCCAGGCTGGTTTATACTGATAGCGCTAGTGCAATGCCTCACCGCCTCAGTCTTCTGCCATGCTTTCAGTGGAATGTGAGCGTGTCTTAGGGGAGCCGCGGGATGTACCCTCCCCAATTCTGTCCTCAAATTAAAATCGCCTCGTAAAAACAGTGCAGCAGCCGACCGCACACACCGACGGCGCCTCCTTCACACCAGTCCTGTCCGCGCAGTACCTGTCCAGTGAAGAGGCCAACGTCCTGGACCTGCGACACGTCCAGCTCCACGTGTCGCGCCTCGCCGTAGGTGCCCTTGCCTCCCTCCAGCAGGATCGACTTGGAGTTGAGCCGACCCTGGCCGTCGCAGGCGATCCGGCCGACAGCGCACACCGGCTCCTGTCGGAAGTTCAGTTTGGTCATGTTCCCGGCAGATGTCTCTGGCCGGCGCCATTCTCGCACCGCCACGTTGCAGCGGGACAAAGGCGGCAAAAACGCTGACGCTCGGAGTGGGTTGGTCGAGCGGCGAGACGTTTTTGTTCGGGCGGCGACAGTGCACCGGGACTGCGCCGCGGAATGCCGGCGTGCTCCGTGAGTCCCGCGCTCCAAGCGCGCGGCGCGCCGGCGGGTGCCCCGCCGGCCAGCGCCGCCTCCGTGCATCCACACCGGCCGTATCAGTCGGCCCCGCCCCGCGCCTGTCTCCCGGCCAGCGGTCCGACGACCGGTGACTCAGATGCCGTCCTGAGTCGTCGCCCAGATCGTATCTCCGCCGGTGTATCGGCCCCGCCGCCCCGGGCGCGCGCCCGGCGTGACGTCACCACGCACGCCGGCGCGCCGGCGGGAAACCGGCCGGGCGGAGGATTTGGCGCCAAGGGAGACGTGGCGCAGACAGTCGGAGAATGGGTCCTAACTAGGTGTCTGTAACGGGGAACGCGGCAGTTAACAGCGGTGACGCTGTGATGAAATTGACGTGACTGTCAACGTGATTGGATCAGCGCCGTGTATCGCGACCTTATCAACTTCACGATGCCCATCAGTCACCCTTTGCAAATCCCGCGAGCAGCCCGGCCTGCAGACGGACCGGAGGCGCCGGCACGCGGCCACCCGCCGCCCTTCCCGGCCGCAGCGACTGGCGCACGCCGGCGGCAGCGGCCGCTCGGCGCGGCGGTGGGAACGACCGGCCCCACGTGGTCGGCGCCCGCTGACGTCACAGGTCACGTGCGCCGGCCGCCGGCGCGGGCGCGGGAGCCGTTCAGGAAGTCGGCGGGATGCCGGCCGTGGCGCGGAGCCGCGCGGCGCGGCGCGCCGGCCGCAGGCGACTGACTGGTCGGTGTTCGGAAGACGGCCAGGCTGAGACGCCATGCACTGGGCAGCGCGACACGACCACGGACGCGCGCAGGCCGCAGCAGAGGCCGGGACAGACCAGAGGGACAGATGGACGGCAGCGACTGGAAGGGCGAAGTGAAAGGGGTGGGAGGACCACGGACCGATCTTCGCGCTGTCGGAGGGGAGGGGGGAGATAGCTTTGTTACCAGCAATTCATCGGCCATTCGTATTGAAAACCAGCTCGGTAGCGGACGAGATCGCAGACTTTCGAGCGGGTTTGAGCAGCACCAGATTCAGATCCCAGTTCCACGACCTCACTCACGGCCAGCTGCCGACATCGTCCACGGCCGACTGCCGACCTCGTCCACAGCCGACTGCCGACCTCGTCCACAGCGTACTGCCGACCTCGTCCACGGCCCACTGCCGACCTCGTCCACGGCCGACTGCCGACCGATTCACGACCTTGCTAAGGCTCACCATGGCCTCGCTAAGGAAGACTTACGGTCTCAGTCGCAGCTGACCCCAACCTCGCTCACGGCTGACTCACGTCCTCGCTCACGGCTGTCTCATGTCCTCGCTCACGGCTGTCTCATGTCCTCGCTCACGGCTGACTCACGTCCTCGCTCAAGCTCTCTCACGTCCTCGCTCACGGCTGACTCACGTCCTCGCTCACGACCGACTCACGGCCTCGAAAATATGACTCACGCAAATTGACCAATCGAATGCCCGTGATGCAATCAATTTAGTATGTACGCATTCGGATGGCGTTATCCATATAATCCGTATTCGCAAAGCATGCTACCGCATCACAAAGATCGACCAAGAGCCCACTTAGCGCCAAACAGAATTAGTTTCGCCGAAAGATCCTGCTTTGAACACGTCATCTCAACACTCATCATCCGCCTTGTTTCAGATAGGCTCACAGCTGTGGCCCAGTCGTTACAAACGGAGAAATTTCGGTTCATTTCAAGTCAAAACCCCTAGTCATACGCGATGCAAATCTGACATGAACGCCAAATCGAGATAATCAGTGTATTATACGTCTAAACGATGTAAGACGCCCATTCGACCCGGCCGGAGAAGATCCGACAGGTGTCGAGTGGTCCCAACACGCCAAAAACCGGGGTACGGAGGCGGGGAAACGTCTGTTAGCGAACGGAATACCCTCGGCCGGCCAGTCAGATGGCAGACGGGAGCCGCTCGGACCGGCAGACGCTCAGACGGGGTCACGGACCCGGGCCGGCTGCCGTCTGTGACGATCAGATCACAGACGGGAGCCACTCAGACCGGCCGAGGCTCAGACGGGGTCACGGACCCGGGCCGGCCGCCGTCTGTGACGGTCAGATCACAGACGGGAGCCGCTCAAACCGGCGGAGGCCACCCGGGCCGGCCGCCTCGTCACAGCCGGCGCCGGACAGGTGCCGGCGGCCCGGCAGCGCTCCTGCCTCCGCAGCAAGCCGCGCTGACGTCACCCGGTCACGACGGGACGACCTGCGCAGGGGATAGACAGACGCAGGACTGACGGTCAATGGCACCTACGGCGTTGTCGCGCGAACCGTACAGACCGTCACAACGAAATACTGACGGCAACCGGTTCGCAGCAATACGCTGTCAGCTAGCAACTGCACAGCATATCTACGAGAAGCAGTCTTCATTCAGACCGGTGCCGTTGTTTTCCAATGAGGCATTATTTTGCCAGTGGTTGGCGCTACCATACACCTCAACTGCAAAGCGGGCCGCCGAAGTCAATTTGACGCCGTGGCTGTCGTGTCGGCGTGACAGGCGACTCGACCATGGGTCATTAAATGGCGCATCCTGTGATGTGCAATTAACCATCCGACAGATATGCAGACCGATTCTCGCCGTCTGACTTCCTAACGGAACAGAGCGCCGACACCGCAGCTGCAGCGAGCGTCTCCAAACGTCCCGCTACAGGACGGCGTATGTAAATAGCGCGCTGCAATCGGGTGCTGGCAGTGCAGACATCGAGGACCCCGGCTCTGGGTCGTCGCTTTCCCACGCGCTCCAGCCCGCGCCTTCGCCTGGAATCGCCCGCTCACGTCATCCGGGTAAGGGACACCTGGCGGCATCCTGTCGCACCCACCCCCGCTCCCATTCACTGGTTCATCCCGCGCCACCGCAGGAGCTCGTCCCAAGGCGGGCAGCTGCAGCCGCCGGCCCCGGGGCGGCTCCGTGAGTCAGCCCCGCGGCCACCCCCGGCTGGGAGTCCCGCCCGAGAGGCCCCGTAAGCCTCGCTGGCATCCCAGGGCGGGGCAGAAACCGGTGAGGAAAGCCCAGGTCACCTGAGACGGTCACGCTGTTCACCCAACTCATTCGGCTCCTCTGAGTAGCATGCCAGTTGAAATGGTCCGCTGGTCTAATAGTCGAATGGCTTCGAACGGTCTGAAAGACCTCTAACTTAACCAAAACGACGCCACTTGGACCACCGGTCGGATGATTAGACCACTTAGAACCTCACTTTTGACTTTCCAGTTACACAGACCTCCCGTCTTCCGTTCAACTGCAGAAAATAATGTCCCCGTCCAACGTTTCGGAGCTGTGCGCTCCTTTCAACACTACCGCGCCGGTCTGGGTGCTGGCCGAGCCTTGGCGTGCCTCGTGAGACACAGAGCGCCCGCGCCTCATGCCACCCGTCTGACGTCTTCAAACGATGTCCTCCGCAGCCGCTGTGCCGTCCCCAGCCGTACCTGGGCGACGGCGTGCGGCTGGGCGTACTCCTCCAGGCCGTGGTGGCGCTGCAGTCTCTCGCCCAGCGCCAGGATGTGGGCGTTGAGCACGTCCGTGCGGTCCCGGAGCCGCTCGAACATGTAGCGGTAGGGCCGCTGGAGGCGGGCCGGGCCGAGCGGCGCGGCCGGGCCGGCCGGCTCGGCGTCGGCAGTCCAGTCGGCCACCTCGGGACCCCAGCTGGCGATGACGTCCCCGCGCCCCGTGCGGGACTCGTACCGCTCCGAGGGCGCCGTCCTGAGGAGGACGAAGTCGGGTCAGAGGTCGTCCCGTGAGCAACGTCAGGTCAGGACGCCCTGCTGGGCGTGCCATCATCGGAGGGCGCGTAAAACGCATGCTGGGACGACACTGGAAACACACCTGAGCACCAGTTGGCTGTACTGTGTGACCTGAACGACCTGCAGTTGACAGTTTCTGTTTTCGGCATTATTGCACGCCATACCACATGAAACAAACGGCCGTGCCTTACCCACACTGTTGAACGGCGAGCCTTACGGTGCATACAAACATTGATTAGAACAGAATTGACTTCCAAGAGCCCGCACGTCACTACTACATTAACTAAACGAACTCGGGCGCACTGAAGCCAGCGGCAGAACGCCGCCGGACGGGGGGCGCTCGCCGCAGTCGAGGTCACGGGGGCTGACCCCGGCAAGTGAACCCCAGTCGTGGTGACCTCCAACGGTAGGAAACGCTGACCTATGCGGCGGGTCGTCGGACCCCACCATCACGTACACGAATGGGTGTCCGGGCTTGTCTGTGACAGGTCTTTGACTTGATCTGATCAAATCCTGGTGTTTTGGAAAAAGTCCTCGGTCCAACCGGCGCGCTACATGAGCGAGAGTCCTATCATTCTTCCGCTAACGAATCCGATCCCTTGGAGTCCAGGCACATGCCTAGGTTTTAAATCCTTAAATCGAGTCCGGTGATTCCTTACGGCATCGCACACGACAAAGGTAATTTTACGACCGCTTATCGATGACAGAGACCACCGAGGATATAATCGGACACGGCAGGCCCACACCCGACCCAAAAATAACCTAATAATATCCTCACTTGGCATGCTAAGCCAGTATCGGGACAGCTATAAAATTGTGGGCAGGTGCTGACAACTACGAAGTTCTAGCGGTGGCTAATCCGGCTCACACAAATTCGACCTGACTTAACCCCAGCGAAACGAGACTGACTCACCAAACTTAACATGGATTGCGATGACTACCCACATGCCACACGCCGAGCCGTTAAGCTTGTGCTATTCGCATATGTATGTTGTAACAATAATGTCCGTGCTTGGTAAAAAACATTCAAATTTGACTTTCAGTCGAGGGCGAATACGATCGTCAGGCTTCTAAAATCCTCCAGCACGAGCCCGAACCTTATCTGAGTCCGACTCCGCGACTAACTCTGACTCGGTGAAACGAGTCCGAGGCGGAAACACAGCGGCTCGAAAACGACAGTGACGGCGTCAATCAATTCAAAATTACGCGGAGGGGGGGGGGGGGGAGGGATAATATGCCGAACGGAGGGGCGCACATTTACTTAAGAAGCAAGTCCCGACTTTGACGCGACCGCCGCTATTACACCTCAGCATGAATATGCGCAATCAAACCTCCTGTTCGATGGGCGCTGGCGGTTCGCGTGGCACCAATGACACTACGAACTTCCCCTACGCTACGCAGTGCACCTGGCACTGATATCCCCATAGTTGTCTCACGTGCATATTTCAAAACCTGTGCTCGGTTCAACTTTTGTGTTAAGTTAAGGATTTTATGATCCGTCATCTGCCCTTTTCGTTTCGCGGGGAAGATGATACGTGGATTCCGCGTTTCGACTGGTATGGCAACATCATTTCTATGACACCAATTATATTCGATCGAACATCGATCATATTCTTTGTGACCAATTCCATCTTTTTCGCTTTAATTCTAGTATGACAACCCCAGTCTGGGCCGAATCCGCGTTTATTTTTGCGCCACTAAGCCCCACTCCGATTCACCTGGAATGAATGGGATCAACCGTCAACCGTTCCACGCGTCCAGGTCGTAAAAAGTCACGAGCCCGAGCACAAGTCGTTGTCCCGGGGCCCCGCCTGACCTGCGCTCGGTCACGGTTGACACCACCGAGGTCGACGACACGCCCAATCATGGTCCGGGCCCTGCAGACAGGCCTCAGGCCGCGCCGAGCCCTGCCGACGGGCCTCAGGCGGCACCAGGCCCTGCAGACAGGCCTCAGTCCGCGCCAGGCCCTGCAGACAGGCCTCAGGCGGCGCCGGGCCCTGCAGACGAGCCTCAGGCGGCGCCGGACGAGCACCTCAGGAGGATTGGCGGCGCCGGGCCCTGCGGCCGAGCCTCAGGCGGCGCCAGATTCTGCAGGCAGGCCTCAGGCGGCGCCAGGCCCTGCAGACAGGCCTAAGCGCCGGGCCCTGCAGACGAGCCTCGGGCGGCGCCGGCCGAGCACTTCAGGAGGATTCGGCGGCGTCGGGCCCTGCAGCTGAGCCTCGAGCGGCGCCGGGCCCTGCAGACGAGTCTCGGGCGGCGCCGGCCGAGCACCTCGGGAGGATTCGGCGGCGCCGGGCGGCGCCCTCCGCCCCTCACTACGGCCGGCCGGCTGGATAAATAAACAGACGCCACAGTCCGGCAAGCCAGCCGGCGACATCTCGGCACGGCGCTAGGACGCGAGAGCGCTGCAGCGCGCCGCCGGCCCCACCACGCGCAATGGAGCGGCCGGGAGCGGCAGCCGGCGCTATCGGCCGACGCAGACGCTGCAGATTCGCGCCCATTCAGACATCGGCGGACGCAGGGACCTCGCGCTTCGCAACAATTCAGACATGTGTCGAGGCAGGGACTGTGAGCGCCAGTTGAGATGCCGGTGGAAACGACGACTGCGAGCTGCGGACCTGTGTGAAGTTGTTCTCTCCAACCCGGTGATTTGACGACCGCACCATGAGGACCTGAAAATTGACGACGCCGAACACTGGTCTGCGTTTGAGACGGACAAGCAACAAATGTCATCGATCTACACAATACCTCTCCTGTTTGATGAAAACAACGGGGAGGTAAGATGTTTGAAGCAACACGTAACACACCAACGTTGGCTAAAATCCAAGCAGTGCGGCACCATTACTTAAGAATGGCATGGCAACGGACAGGGGAAATCTGTTTATTTGGGACCAAAATCAGTGTAACGCAGGAAGCGTGATCTTCGACCAGAATGAGACCCAAACAAGCGCCGCAAAAACGACACCCTGGAGGCCTCCTGAGGCACTGAGCCAAGCAACAAACCGAATGCAAAAACAAACGCCCGCCCAAATCGTGTGCATACCAGTAGCGGATTGGCTTCACAGAAAGACAGGGACTGCCGGGCGCCCACGGGAAGCTGAATCGGAATTTGATTCAGGGACGTGCGCGAGATCAGCTTCATGGTCAATAATAAAAGATTACAACACGGCCCGTGGGCAGCAGAGTATAGGTACTAATGATACCAATAAATGTGTTTGGTGGTCCCGGAAAGAGAGTGGGGTATCTGTCATCTGTTTACCGCTCTTTATCGTTGGTGTTTACTGCTCTTTTACGTGTTTATTTGTCTTTCCGCTCTCGCAGGTCGTCATTAGGAGGAACAGCTGTTCGAAGTCGTCTGCCGTTTTCGACCCGCGCAATGGCGATTATGCCGCCAAATTCCGGTCTACGCTCCTATTTTTTTAAAATTTTAACTGACCTTACAACAAGCTAGGTTTATTCCGGAAATGCTTCCGAAGACATCAGGAGACCCGGCATGCCGAGACCAACCTGCATTAGCACCAGCAATCTGACACTTGTGTGAATCGCAAAGCAGCAACATTCTTCACTGGTTAAGCCACCATCCGTTTGTCTACGGGAAGTCATGCTCAAACATACAGGGGCAGTGTTTGTGCAGCTATGCCAGTTCATCTCCGTCATCCCTGTCACACAGCACGCTCAGTGCCTGCCTGCCCGGAGACTGAGATATCCCTGGTTATAATTTCACAAGTGTTATCTGACATACCCGACTATGACATGCATGACACACACAAAGTAAGCCACGTCACTTTCAGAACGTCTGGCCATCGGCTATGTTCAAAGGGTCGCCATCTCTGCCGTTTCGCGTCACAATTCGGCGCTTTGCATCGGTGGTGCGGGGAAACAAGACAGAAGCAAAGAACGAATCGATCATACTATCTTTGTGCCACGATACCCGCACCGTTTGGAAACGAGTCATGACGTCACTGATCTCGGCAAAATGAAGAGGAATGAGAGGGCTACATCCAAACGGCTTTACACCTGGAAAATAGAATCGACCCGGATAGCTTATTTTCAAGTTGATGCAGTGTCAGCACAACCACAGACTTTGGAAGTTTTTCTTCGTAATCCAACTCATCTGCACATAACGCGAAAGAATCACATTCATTATAGCATTTTGAATGAGTCACACGTTGTTTTTACTTTTTAAAATGCGCGTGATTACAGGAAGCGCTGGCGCCCAAAAGACGTTTCGAGTGAGATACTGAAACGATTAGGTACGTTGTGCTGAAACATTTGGTTCGCTTGCCTTTGCAAGGAGTTTGCTCTTAGGCTGCAGTAATTCTACAACGCTTCGGTATTTTCATCACCCTATGATGACAATACGCGACGATACTACTGACGATTTGGTGATTTAGTCCATAACGTTACGATAGCTGATGTAACACAATAATGACGATATTTCTACTGCCAGGTGATTACTAAGGTTGAAGGCCACTTTTTAGCTAATTCCTTTGCTTCTACTTAAGCTAAGTTCTACGACTGCCACTTCAAAGCATCGCTCCCGACGCCCCTCGAGCGTCACTCCCGGCGCCCCCAGAGCGTCGCTCTCGGCACCCAGAGCGTCGCTCCCGGCGCCCCCAGAGCGTCGCTCCCGGCACCCCCAGAGCGTCACTCCCGGCGACCCCAGAGCGTCGCTCCTGATACCCCCGGAGCGCCACTCCCGGCGCCCCCAGAGCGTCACTCCCGGCGCCCCCAGAGCATCGCTCCTGACGCCCCCAGAGCGTCGCTCCCGGCGCCCCCAGAACGTCGCTCTCGGCACCCAGAGCGTCGCTCCCGGCGCCCCAGAGCGTCGCTCCCGGCGCCCCCAGAGCATCGCTCCTGACGCCCCCAGAGCGTCGCTCCCGGCGCCCCCAGAACGTCGCTCTCGGCACCCAGAGCGTCGCTCCCGGCGCCCCCAGAGCGTCACTCCCGGCGCCCCCAGAACGTCGCTCTCGGCACCCAGAGCATCGCTCCCGGCGCCCCCAGAGCGTCGCTCCCGGCACCCAGAGCGTCGCTCCCGGCGCCCCCAGAGCGTCGCTCCTGACACCCCCGGAGCGTCACTCCCGGCGCCCCCAGAGCATCGCTCCTGACGCCTAGAGCGTCGCTTCTTCGCGCAGCGCAGCAAGCGTGAACCGCTTGCACTTACCTAAAACTCAATCCCGGGCCCCGGCTTCAGAAACTTAACCACGCTAAATTTCGGCAATTACGATCCAGCCATGCGTCTGCCTGAACCCTTCCGCGAAGGCACTAAACCCTAACGACATTCACCCTTCAATTCAAATCTGACGGACTTCCGGGTCTGTCTCGGCCAGTGAAAGGTGTTTTGTCGAGCTCGGTCCACCGACGTCAATCCCCAGCCTTCTCCCCTCTCCCCCACCTGTTGACGTCGGGTCCAGATTATATCGGCGCTCCCTCCCCTCCCCGCCGCCGGCGGTAATGAGATTTACCTGTCCCTCCCCAGTACCTGTCCCCCCCCCCCCCGATGGGATCAGCGCCGAGGGGTGTCGGTACTCACACGGTGGGGGAGTAGCTGGTGGGGCTGAAGAGTGCCGAGCGAGACGGCACAGCCTGGCCCGAGGGAAGGCCCGGGCCCCGCTTCGGAGTCACCTGGGTCGGCGTCGTCTGCCGCTTCGTCGCCTGTAACCCCGGCACGCACACCGTCAGCAAACGACGACGAACCCGCACATACATCGCGCTGGCTGCCGACGAACAAACACGAGGGCATGACGCGGACGAGTTTTGCCAAGGACATAATGCACTGACGACATACGCGCGCTGGTCCGGCGGCGCGTGTGACGTTACAAGCGCCGTCCCAGAGTCGGCAATAACCAGCTGGAACAAACACTTTCTACCGTCCGCTTTTTACCGGCTAAAACCGGTGAGCACGAAGCTCGTGGCAGAAAGCAGGCAGAAGCTGGCAGAAACTTCTGCGCGGCAATGCGTATTGGAAGCCGATGGAATCAAGAGAAAAGGCGTAGTACTTCACACATAGTTTATATGTTTATGCTTTGGCGCCTATGGCGTCTACATAGAAAATAGTAGGGTCCTGGCCATCCGGAATTACGCCATTCTAAATTGTTAAACAAGATGCAGGGAACAATTACTGTTTGCACAACCAAGTGAGAACAAAGCCAAAGCCTGCAAAAGCGCGTCCGTTGAGAGGAATTCATCAATCGTAGCACCATGATGAATAAGTCTGCCGTAATGCGTAATGGCGAAGAAAACAAAATTCTGCCCTGATCTGGACTTGTATTTAATTAGCCCGACAAGAGCTGAGTGCCGATACACCCAGCCGACCGCAACCGCACGTTACATTTTCAGAGAATTGTCGAAAGACACTTGCCCGGTCACTAATAGGCTGTATATTTGTAGGACAGACAGTAGTGCAGCTCCAGTTCGTATTATGAGTGTTGTTATTGTCATTGTGCACACATGTGGAGCTAAGTACCAAGTAGTGTATGCACCGACCAAGAATATTTTACTGCACTGCTTATTTTGCTTAGTTATTCATTCATAGCTCATTGTATCCATCGCACTACCTTCACAGCCAGCCCGGGGTCCACGCGGAACATGCTGGACACGTGACCCAACCAACTGGGTCTAAACCTCAGAGCAGGCGCTTCGTTAAGCTCAGCCGGTATGGAAAGGTCAGCTGACAGCCGGTATGGCCAGATAATGACGATTTGGGCTTTGGGGCGCCCGGTATGGCCAGAGGGCCAGCCCGGCCCTGGCTGGCCGTGCCGCAGCCCCCTTGCAGGACACGTGACGTAGCCCTGCAGGACACGTCACGTAGCACTGCAAGACACGTCACGTAGTTCTGCAGGACACATCACGTAGCACTGCAGGACACGTCACGTACCACTGCAGGACACGTCACGCAGCATTTCAGGGACACATCACGTAGCACTGCAGGACACATCACGTAGCACTGCAAGACACGTCACGCAGCACTCAGACACGTCACGTAGCTCCACAGGACACGTCACGTAGCACTGCAAGACACGTGAGTAGTACTGCAGGACAGGTCACGTAGCACTGCAGGACACATCACGTAACACTCTACACATCCCTGTCTGGCAAACGGACTGGAGGCAGAAAAATCCCATAGACTGCATCAAGTCTTACTTATTGACCTCATTACGGTGGGTTACAGAGCACGCGCAACAAGCTCTGCTTAGTAAGCGTTCCGAACCCAGTCATCCATGCAAGTCGTTCAAAATAATGTTGAAAAACTGATTGAGGTTTGACAGATTTGCCGCTACTGACTTTTGAATCCATGCGTTTGAGTCATGAGACACACGCCCACATATACCAATTCGTGTGCCACTCAAGCGATGGATAACAGATACTGTGATCACATGGTTGCATCATTGTGCCTTTGCTGGCAATTTGCCTGAAAATACCACGTGGGAACTGTGTGGTAAGACTTAAATTAAAACACAACCGTATCATAAATTTCCCAGTTCCCGTCAGTTTATGTATGCTTCAACCGGTAAAAAGCATCGCGGTAAAAACCACTGAGGCAGACCCCAGCTAAAGTCGGCTGGAATGGCAACCGTTACTAGCACCTTTACCTATGCTGTATCATATATACTGTACATTATTTTGCATGACCTGCTGTTCGTCAGGCCGCATGGATAACATTTTTCACGACGCCCAGTACTACCAACGTCATCATTCTTGCCGGGGCTTCCAGACAACGGGTGTCGCTCCCCGAAGCGTAACCTGGCAAATAATGCTTTCCTCTTTACTCTCGGCTTCGAGACATTCTGTTCAGCGTTCGCTAAAAAGTTCACGGGCGTTCATGTATAAAACATCTCCCACCGACCTTAATTGAAACAAGCATTCTTACCCGGCTTTTCTCGATGCCAACACGGAGCATCGCTGCTACAGCTCTGTGGATGGACGCCTTATAAGGGGGCGGGACCTGTGTTTTCGGGTGTCGTCCGGCTCAGGTCCAGATCGCGGCATCTTGACCGCACTGCTCCACGACAGGAGGCGACATGGCCTCAGATACATGCCTCTGACGACTTGATGGCGCTGCGGTGTGTCCCGAGGTGCCTTTTGTACCCCAGACGGTGATGTTTGGGAATCGCGCGCGATTTGGTGAGATGTGTTCCGACCTGTCCTGACGATAACCCATCATGTGAGGACGCTGTCTGGTGACCAGAGCATTCAGGGCGTGCACTCATCGATTTAAAAGGAGTGCCCTACCTGTTTTGTACTTTTCACTTGTTGTTGCGGCAGACGCGCACAATTTGGTTAGTAATATATATATATATATATATATATATATATATATATATATATATATATATATATGTATGTATGTATAAATGCACAATACGGATATACATGTATATATTAAGTAACACAATACATGAATACAAAATAATACGCGTAATACAGTTGTTTTGTTCGCGCCAGTAGAGCTGCGCGCCGTGGCTGTCACGTCGGCGGTGACCACGACTGCAGGGAAGATGCGTGGTGTTGTTACGAAGCGTTCATTGCGTGATCTAAACTCAGAGGATAAGTGAAATTGACAGCCACACTATGTCTTGATGGCGCTGCAGTGACACTACCCCGGGCTTTTAATAGACGATACTAGTCTTGATGGCTTACTATAGCATGTTTTTGAAATATGTCCGAAAGGTGGGACGATCAACATTTAAGACTGCCTCGTATCACTGCTGGTTCGAAAACCACACCACAGTTGCGGACACGTGAACAACCTACAGCAGCGAACAACGGTGCCTCTTTATTATCGAACGCATCAGGCCTGACCGTCGGCGAAGGGTATGGCTGTTTTCGCCGGCGTGCCATAAAGGGGCGACCCTTTGCACGTGCGCTCGGGGCATAGGGTCGCCCCTTTATATAGGAACCGGTTATACCAGCGTCCTCCACCAAACAACGAATAAGCTTATGTGAGAGCAACAACTGACACGCCCTCGTCACAGCGGCAGCCACTGTTCCCGCTGCGTCACACGCCCTCGTCACACCGCCAGACATTGTTCCCGCTGCGTCACACGTGGTGGCATGCACATACCCCTCTACCTGAGCGAAGCACTTCAGCAACTCAATTTGCTTAAGTAGTTGGAGATACACTCATCACCTCATGAAGAGCTGCAATAAATTTCCAGTGCTGACGTCTAACTGACCACGGGCAATCATCACACAATACCAGTCAAACACAGCTCGGCTCAATCCTTTCACTAGGCTGCAGTTTCGACTAATTCCAATTAAATTTTCTCAGCCGTGCCAGTCTGCTCCCATCGCCAACCAATCTGTAACAGCGACCGACCGATCCATCAAGTCTTTGTTCTCCCCAGACGTTATGATTGGCGCCGGCCGTGACTCAAAGCCGCGTGCCCACGAGCCTCAAGCGGACGCCGGGACACTTCGCCCGTTCCTTCACCTCTCAAGCATCGTGGACGTTCCCCTCCCCATCGCGAACGATAGCTTCGTCAGCGACCGACCGCTGCCGTCGGCCCCGCGGTTCAGTTCTGCTACCGCGAATCAAAAAAAGTGACCGGCCCGGCCCGGCCTGGCGGCGCCCACGTTTGAAAAACCGGTCCGCCAACGGGCGGCCAGCGGACCGGTTGAGTGGCGCCGGCCCGGAGGGTGGCCGCCACGCCGGCGGAGTCACGTGGCCCCGGTCCCCTCCCCCGCCGGCCGGCCGACCGCGCCGGGCCGCGCGCGGGGGTGCGGCATGGCGAACTGCCCGCTTCGCCCATGTAGGGTGAACGTCCGCGCGAACCCAAACCGCCGGTCCATTCATTTCGCGTCGACTTGCGCACGTGGCGCCGCCATGCGCTCGCTACAGAGTCGCAGCTCAGCGCCGCGCACGAGAGGAGCGAACAGCTCTCGCCGTCAGGACCGGGCCGGGCGGCCACCGCACCAGCGCCCAGCGTCCAGCCAGGCGGAACATGTGGCGACCTTGAAAGCGGCGGCCGTTGGCAGAGTGCCAGCCAGGCGGTAACAGCCCGAGCAGCCGCCTGGAAACGCTGGCCGCGCCCGGCCACCGACACCGCGGGCTGGCTGCCGGCAGGTGCGGCCACCGCGGCCCGGGCGCCGCCGCCGCCGCCGCCGCCGGCGCAGAGACGCAGCGGGACGCGGCGGCCCAGGAGCATAGAGACGGACACGGTAGACCAGGAGCATACAGCGGGACACGGCAGACCAGCGGCATACAGACGGACACGGCAGACCAGGGGCATACACACGGACACGGTAGACTAGGGGCATGCAGGGGGACACGGCAGACCAGGGACATGCAGGGGGACACGGTAGACCGGGGACATACAGGGGGACACGGCAGACCAGGGACATGCAACGGGACACGGCGGACTAGGGACATAGAGCGGGACACAGAGGCATGCAGCCTAAGCCGCAACGTTCGGACAGGTTCCCAGCCTATCGTACCTGTTCGGGCTATTTCTGCCGCGTGCTGCTTCTGAGAAACGCACAATTTTCGCAGAATTTCACTGTGCACGGCAACCCTCGTTAACTTTGTACTATTACAAGCAAGCTGCCTGAAAAACGCAAGGAACAAACCTGAAGTTTCGGGCCAGCCAATGCGCGCCGTGTTTGGACCGCAGCTATGCCACGAGCCGGTAGGCCAGGCAAGCCCCGGTTAAATC